CCTACATGTTGCAAGAGCGCGACTGCACAGCAGGCTTGGGCGGCGGAATTATCTACACGACCTTCCCAGGCTTTGCAGCTTGAGATACATCCCATCAACCATCCCCCGTTGACCGGACTCCTTCGAAAATCTTTATTCGATTTCACAGCTAGCTCAAGTGCTTGGAGATTATTTGGAGGCATCCGCCTCAGCAAGAGCATGTGCGATGGCCACGATGTTTTTGATCTGGCTCAAGTTAGCAAGTGAGGGGTGAACAGCAGCGCTCTGGTACCCACCCCGGCGTCCATTTAAAGCCAAAGACTATAATTGTCGAAGGTTGTTCCTCACCACAACAGGTCCTTGCGTCGTACATGCCCTGGACAGAGTCGTTGACCAGATTTCTCTGCGAACTGACTCCTTGATTTCTCATAGTCAATGGTCAAATGGGTCCGGGCGAGAATTGCATTTTCAAACTAGATACCCCGATTCAACGTCAAGGAAATGCTTCCTATTCCAGCTTCCGGAGGAAGATGGTCACAAGGGGATTTTGAGTATTGGGATAAGATGCACGCTACTTCATGAACGTAGCAATCTTATCCAAGCGAAGCATGCCACCAAAATGTGTGTCGATTTTGATTACTGCTTCAAGCTGTTGCTCAAGCGAATTCGAATCGCCGTGGTCGACTCGGCGTTTTCACCAATTACGTTGTCGAACGGTACTCTCGGTATCAGACCCAGGGTGGTCTTTGCCAATGACATATTGTTCAATTTAAAGATATTCCTAACTCCAGCGGGACCATCAAATGAAGGCTTTCCGGGGCCACCCTCGTCTTCGCCTCTCCTGATAGTGTCGAACTGCGCAATGGAAATCATCTTCTGGTAAGCTCCTCCCATGATCGAATCCATGCTTCAGGCGTAGGCGATCATTGACAATGTTGGTAGGTACGTTGGCCAAGGTCCTGCATACAAAAAGTGCCAACCGACAGATTACTTCTCCAGTTGCGAACTATTCAAGGCGGAAAATCTAGTGGGCAGTTCTTCAGCTTTGCATCACACGTCGCCCAAGCGATAGCATTTACATACAGCATGCATGATCTGCGTCCGAAGGAGGTCGAGTGAGAGCATGCTCAAGCTGTTAAGGCTCAACTACGGTCTTTGTGTACACGCTCTGAAGCCGACATTGGGTTCAATAACGTTTCCGCTATCCATTACTGGATACACTTCTTTTCACGGACCTCGACGTCAAATTCGAGAGTGGCCAATTCGTCGCCTTTGTCAATCCATCCGGCTGCGGAAAGACAACCGTGATATCTTACTAGAGAGATTCTACAACCCTTACCAACCGATAGTCCTTATCAACGAAACCACGACTCTTCGAAAGAACCATCCGCAACAATATATCCCTCGGACTCGGCAATTCTGAGTTCACCGAGATCAATCTGATTCAAGCCTGCGAGGACGCAGATATTCATTCACGATCCCATTACCTGCCTCCCGGATGGATAGTCGACCTATCGGGCATCAAGGCTCAATCATTCCTTGGTGAAAGACAACGACAACGCCCTGGCTTTATGCAGGCATTAGTACGCAGACCATTCCTCTACTTGATGAAGCGAAATCGAATCTTCAGTTGTAGTCCTGAAAAAATGGTACAGGCAGTACTCAGGCGCTTGGCAACGAAGAGATGTATGACAATTGTGGCAATTACGCATATACTGGCTACTATACCGACAGCGGACACGGCATTTGTCTTTGGTGGAAGCCAGAGCTGATATGGGCTCAGGTCGTGGAACAGGAAAGTCATCAGGAACTGCTGCGGGATAACGAGATGTGTTTGGCAGACGTTGAGTATTGATTTTCTAGTTAGTGGCTTACTGATTAGTTTCCAGTGTCAGGACAATGTGCTCGATCGATTATTGTACACTACGTGATTTCATTCCGTATAGGTGTCAGTGTGTTCATAGAATCTGTCTATTAGAAGTTGCTTCATCATACATACAATATCATGGATTGATAGGCAGATAAAGGAACCTCCCCTCCTTTCTTATCTATGCTCTGCCATTAAAATCCGGACGAGCCTCAGAGGCATACAACACGTCTCATTAGTCCATCTGCTATCTAGAGCCAACCTCTACTTCCCATGGTTCCTAGTCAGCTGCACACAGTTTGATTGAAACACCACAAAACTCAGTGTTGCTCGTTTTCTGCTGTTCGTAAAGTCTCATTTTCTAACTTGCCTGCGCCATTAGGGCCGTAGGCGAGAATTCCCCATATACCTATATAGGTCGCCAGCATCAGAAACGGGAGAGAGAGGAGGCGAAAAGAGCCCCAAGATAGCCCATACCAATCGCCCAAGGGACCCCTCGATCCCTTTTATTCCTGCTTGGTCACCCTCGACTGTGAGACAGACTGGGTCTCTTGCAATGATTCCATTATCGTCAGCAGAAACAATAAAAGAGAGGCCATTGGCCGGCGCTCACGTTCTGATCGCGAAGGCACAAACCCAGAGGTGTTCCCGGTAATCCCTCCTCTTTGCCTTAAACACTGATCGGTGATTGTCCGCCGGCTACTATTCCGGACTCGAGTTTGCTGGGGCGCACGCTGTTGTTGTTCGTTCTGGCTTCCTTCATCCTGCTTTATGGCTGGATGCTGCTCATCCTGGTGCTGAACCCTTTCCGAAACGTCATTTGTTTGCATCGATTGCGATCCACCATTGCTCGGTGTTGGCTGAGTTGCTTGGTTCGGGTCTCCCTGGTAGTGATTTTGACGGGACGCTCGAATGTGGTTGGATTGTGACGACTTCGACACCCTATGATGCGGCACTCGCTGACTGACGTGATTCTGTTCTCCTTCATGGTGAGCCTGTCTCGCCCGCGGCACGTGTACCACATGGTCCGTTTGTGCCACGTCAGACACCCTATCCTGCGCTGACTGGACAACGGGGTTTTGCTGTTGGGATTCTGCTTGGGTCTGCCCAGAGTGGACGGAGTCCGCACCCGGCGTTCCACCCGACGACATGTGGGCCCCAACCTGGGATTTCCGTTTCTCGAGACTATTTACGCGTTGCAGTAGAGCCTGCTGCTGCTGGTACGTAAGACCAGCCATTTTTCGGATTTCCGTTTGGAATAATTCTTCCTGCTTTCTTCTAGCCGTCGGGGAAAACTGCTGTTGGGCAATTGCAATATGAACAGCTATAGCTCGCTGTGGTGCCGAGGCTCGCTGTGATAGAACGAAAAGGGCAGAAAGGGTCAGTCACCAACATAATGCCATGATTTTACGATTAGAGAAATTAGCACATTATATTGCATTCCGTCTCACCAATGCGAGACTCGCCATGCACTCCTCCATTCCCTATCACGCCAAGTGTACTGTGCTGAAGAGTCTGTTTCCAGTATCCGTCGAGCCCCTGCCTGAGTATTTGTTGGCCGAGAGGCGAAGGGCAACAAGGTTGAAATTCCTCTCGCGCGCGAAAGCGTGAAGCGGACTGCGAACAGATACAGCCTCCTTCTGAACCACACCAGCGACTACCGCAATCTGGATGGCTGTATTGATCTCACGGATATGCTGCGCCATTTGCAAGACAGACTTTCCGGTATTAATGACTGAATCTACAAGTATGACAGCGTTCCTGTCTTTCAAATGCGTTTCCTCAATGTCCGCCGCACAACGAGCGTGTAGGAACATCGCATTTGGGAATGCATCACTGACCCCGAAGGCCATTGGCTCCCCTCCCCGCATCAGTGCTATTATTGCTGTCCTCGACTCTTGGAAGAGCTGGAACCCGTCAGTAGTATGCCCCTGCACGTGGGGTATCTGATTTGTCTCGAGGCCTAGTAGGTCAGACAGGTGAGTTATTGATAAGTAGTATCCAACGCGTCGATGCGCTTCTCTGAGAAGAGGACCACTAATTCTGGCGTCCCGCGTAGCCGTCGCTAATAGCTTGGCTGCATTTGTATCCGTGCTGTGGAAC